TCCCCAGTTTCAGTTTGTTATGTTACGTGCCACTTCGTCGGTTTATTACATCCGAACGTCTTTTATTCAGTCCGGTAATTGTTTCGTGGGGAAAATACAATTGGAGTGAATTCCGCCATTCGTTGTTGATCACGTGGACATATTCTGCTATTAAATCTTCATTGAGTGGGAGTTGCACTAAAATTTCAAGGAATTTAGACGTTGAAAATTCCCAGTTTAATGAATGAAATCAGTGGAAACTTGAAATCAGATCAATTAATTCATGAACATTTATAGAAATCGGAAACATTCAGGTCAAAATATTCTTTTTCTTTATTAATTGGGAAATCAATGGGATTTACTATTGAATACTCATGTTTTGATTGAGAATTCAAGGAAATTAGGGAATTCTTGTTTTTCTGCTGCTCAGATGTTTGAAATTTCATGGAATTTTGTCATTAAAAATTCCTAGTTTAATCAAAAAAATCAATGTAAACTTGAAATTTCATTTAAATTGTTCCCCAAAAAATGTAGGAATCATTAATTCACTTTCATCAACAATTATTAATCTCCTTACCTTCCCAAATTCTAAAAAATGTGAATATTGGACTGGAAATAAATTAGTACTATAGAATAGCCCCTTCGTTGGTGATCTATTTATCTCATCCATTCCGCGAGCCATGGCTGAATATGGTAAATGGAATTGTATTGGCAGTGATTGAAAGGGGTCCTATTCAATGAAATTAATTCGAGTGTCAATTGTAGCATCAAAAAATCACCCATTCACTCTCAATATTCCCACTGAATACAAATTGTTTTTTATGGGCTTCGATTCAATTTCTATGGATTCTCTCCCCTCAGCATTTTATTCAGCAACGAGTGTAGCCGGAAATTCGCCTAAAATCATTCGACATTTTCATCAATTTTCAAGGAATAAAAATCATTTCCCATTTCCCCGTTGATTTTATTATTTTCCAAACGATGATTTATTTTTTTACAACTTCATGTTCCAATTTTTCAAGAGAAAAAAAAAATTAAAAACCCTCTTGTCCCTTTGATTTGCAAATTTTCTTTGACAATTATGGCCCCTCCACCGAACAAGAAAATTAATTAAAATACGAAGGGGTAAAAAGTTGAAGAGCTCTTAATTAAAAATAAATATCAAGGATAGAGCGAGACACTTCCGTTCTTTTGAGATCACTCAATTCTCAACGAGACAGGTGACCCAGGGGAATTTTTCCCAACGACTCCTCAAACTCCTCAGTGTCATGGTGCCCTAGCCTGCCAAGTGGCGCGGTCCTTTTGACCCCCGAGGAGAGCCCCGACAGAACATTTCTGCCGAGATAATTCCGAGAGAAACAGGTACGCCAGGAAAATTCAGACGACGCGAGAGTCAACAAAAGGACAGCTCTGACAATGGGGGGGCGCGACGCTCACCGCAAGGGGCGCCTCCAGACACTTCTTATTCTCAATGAGCCACGCTAAATTGACTGGCAATAAATGCCTGGGAATGGGTGACCCAAGGTGCAGGTTTATCTTTTACCAGTGAAACGAGAAGGTGAGAAATACCTCGTGGACTGGACCTCGAGGAAACTGTTCTCTTGTTCTGTTCTGGTATTTTTTTTTTTACCTCGAGATCTATTTCTTCGTCTCAACCTTTCTCTCTGAGCCCCCTATGAGAAACGCTTCGCTCTACGCCCGAGGGAGACCACTCGAGACAAGAAAGAAAATTACTTCTCGAAATTCCATTTTACGGTGACGTTTTTTCGTCTCTTTATTTCAGGGGGGTTTATCGTGATTTTTTTTTCGGGGGAGGGAGTGGACGGGGGTGGAGTCAACATGGAGAGTGTCGAAGGACGGAAGTTGGGAGAATGGAGACGGAAAATAACGGAATTCGGAGCGGGAGACTTGGAACGGGGTGAAGCTCTTTGATTTTAACACCGGGGTTTAGCCGGTTTTATCCCAAATATATTAATTATTTATCATTAATCTGTTATTTATTTATCATTTGAGTTATCGACTAAATCTGAAGTTGAAAATAGAATCGATTTATTTTCCGTCTTCTGTTCTGTTTTTAGTTGTGAGGGAATTTCTCAAAATCTGCACTAAATAGCGAAAATTTTGAGAAAATACTTTTTATGTATCCCATTGTGATCTACATTTTGTCTCCGGTAAAAGTTTAGCTATCTCTTCTAGATACCGAGATATCCATAAAAAATTAAAGTAAAAAATTTAATAGATTTACTTCCTGTCTTCAGTTTACTTTCCAGTTGTGGGGAAATATCTCACAATCTACACTAATTAGCGAACATTTTCAAATTACCTCTTTTGTAGATCTCACTTCGATCTACATTTTGTTTCCGAAAAAAACTTCCCCAACTCCCACCGATTCCAAGATATTCCCGTACCGAATCCGTCAATCCTTCAAAATTCTCGTCATTCCCACCTCTCACCCCGCCTCACCCCCAAAACTCCATCACCCCATTTTGTGGATTCTACTCTATTTGACCCCGTGTGTGTCACCCCAGCATGAGAATCATTATTATCCGAGCACGCCTTCCCAAGCGCCGCAAGGACTTATCGAGAGGCGTGAGTGGAATTGAGAGCATTAGAGCTGACGTGTCGTCAAACCATCGTCTCAAACTCCATCCGAAGATAGAGATAAAAGTATCTCCAGGTTAAATCCGACTGAATTCCGTGAAAATCACCACAAGCCCCAATTACCCATCCATGTAAATGTTTGAGTGATATGAAATAAATTTAATTTAATCGTTGATTCAAAAAAAAAAATTCCGTTGAAAAAAAGGGCTGCAATCTTAAAAATTTATGTCTGAAATTTCCGGTACATTGGTCGGAAATAATTATCGAATTTAATTACCACTGGAATTTCAGTTGAATTTTTTCCTGAAAGTTAATAGCAAATTAGAAAATTCTGGTAAATATAATGCGATTTTAGAGGGAAAAAAATTTAATTTCAGATTTCACTGAAAATTCAATGCAATTTGGCACTGAATATTCATATTGGATTGGCAGTTCCAATAAATTGAGGAATTCTCGTCTTCATCCTGTTTAACATTCTGGAATTTTACCAAATTTTCACTGAAACCTAAAATTTCATGATTTTTTTCGTCAAATCATTCAGTTTCACTGTCCTAAAAATTAACCGTCGACTGTACATGGAATTTCATTTGTTTTCTCACAGTGCAGTTAAACTCAGACTGGAGTGCACTCATAAAAAAAATTATACATCATTTTGTCTTAATTTTCACGAATTTGAAAATTCGGTGAATTCTTTTTCAAGACATTATGAAAAATTCTAGTCTATCAAACGTTGTCTCTCCAGCCCGAAATAATCTCAGTCATTCCGAAATCAATCGACAAGGCCCATTTTCACGTTCAATATCTCAATCTAAGACACCTGAGACACCTCCAAGACCCTTCTCCATAATTAAAATCCCTCACAATTTTCGAAATAATTTTTTCCCAGCTGTTCTCCCTGTGCGGAATAATCCACCCCGTCAACCTGAACTGCCTTCGCTAAATATAACGAGAACCCCCTTTTAACGTTGAAAAAATTCTTTACCTCCATTTTTCAATCCACGAGTGATCGAGTTTGCCTTCGATTCTATATCAATATCCCGTGAAATGCACTTTCGATACGCGAGGGTACCCTAACAGCGTAAAATAAGATATCATTAGAGGCCACAAAAGCGCTTTCTGGTGAAATCAATGAGATAGAGGAGGAGAGGAGTAAAAAAAACGTGCGTTATCGGTTAATGGATTTATTAGTGAGGCCCCCGGTCGATTCTAGCGGTGTGGGGAGGGGGGGGGGAAGGGGCGCATCCGCGCAACCCCGATCCCCTTTTCTCCTCGACGAGACGCCCGTCATTTTATTCCTTTACCCCTCGAGCCGCGCGGTTTTATTTATCCCGTTGTATTAATTTCCTTGGAATTTCTTTTCTACCGCTGAGGACGGCATCCTTTATTTCATCGCTCTGATGTCAGACCAATTTTTTTTACCGATGGAGCGAGAACAATGCGGAAGACGTGATCGGGGAAATGTAATTTGTCATTCGTAATTTATTGTGTAAGAAATGTGATAGCGACAAATGTTTTTGATTGGCGATTTATCGGAATTGGCTGAGGAAACTACAATAAATTGAGCGTCATTTTGACGCTGTTTTTTGCTGGTTTGTAAATGAAAACAAGTTTTTTTATTTCGCGAAATTTAATTGTAAGTGAAAGTGTAAATTAATTTAATTAATTAATTAATTAATCAATTTTAATTGTTAATTAGTGGAGATTGGCTGAGTGAATTTCAGTAAATTGAACGCTATTTTAAAGGTATTTTTTACAGGTTTGGAATGAGAAGGAATTTTTTCGATTTGGATCATTGGTTCGGGGGATATTTAATTTTAAAAAAGATACGTTTTCCGTCTTTCGCGAAATTTAATTTTGATTGAAACTGCAAAACTGCTGAATTCTGATTGTCAATAACCCGAGATCGACAGCAAATTCCAATAAATCAATCGTCATTGTAAAGCTATTTTTGTAATCTCAAAAATGAGACCAGATTTATTGAATTTAATCCGGCAATTAAATTCCACCCTCCACCCTCAATTATTGACGAATCTATCGACATCTCTCCGAAGCACCAAATCATTTCATCATTCCCAGCCTCAAAACACGGAGAGAAATGTTCAGTAAAAATTACGGAAATCACAATTCCCTCACCGATTACGGGATCGACTCAGAAAATTTAAGTGACGGTAATTTTTCACAGGAGATGCAAATAAAAATTACGAAACGCTCTGGAAAAATTCCATGACAGTTCTGTAAAATTTCCTACAACCACATTTCGTTCCAGAATTTTAATGGGAATGAGTGGCAATTAAATTCGATAGAAACTTCCAAAATTTTTGTACAATTCCACACTAAAAAAAATACCTCTTAATGAAAAAGATACGTAATTTTTATTGAATATTTCTCTCCGCGAAGAATAACGAATCAATCGTACTCACAAAAATCCGGAACACCAGACAATCCATAGCTCCAACAGCCGTAATTGAATGCCCCTCAATCGTAAACACGTTAATTCCCCAATCCCCAGTTCACATTTGTTGTTCTCAACAGTAAAAAAACCCCTAAACTTCCGTATCACGTTTCACTTTGATCCCCACAGAACTCCCAATATCCTCACTTTTCATACACAACAGTAGGCCCCCGCACGAATGGACGAGGGAAATAAGACGAAAAAAAAAAGTCACCACAAAGAGACTTCCGTGGATTTTGTTCTCGAGTTCACCACTTTTTTCTCCCTCTCTCGTCACTCTATCCCCGAGATTCGTTGCACTGCGACTTTTTCAAAGTGGCTTCACCACTTACTACTCCCCCCC